CAGACATATATAACTGTTTACACAATATATATATATATGTGTGTGTGTGTGTGTGCGTGAACGTGTGTGTGTGTGTGTGTGTGTGTGTGTGTGTGTGTGTGTATTTAGACAGCAAGTTCTTTTTAGGCATGTCTGATTACGTTCATACTCATGAATAACCTTCTGTGTATTGATGTTAAAGAATGCGAGAAATCTGCTATAGCTGTTTAAATGTCTTTTATTTTTATTTCCCAAGTACTTTCGATCTTTTTCCAAAATCATCTTCAGGGGTGTAGAGACCATGATATAAGAGCTCTTAGAATGTGACATAATCTTTTGAATCACCATATATATATATATATATATATTATAATTTTTCCTATAGAAAAAACGTATAAAGATGTAACCTTGTTTCAGTGCATATAGTTTGCACCTCGACTGATGAGAAACAAAACCAGTCGAGGTGCAACTAAATGCACTGAAACAAATTGCATCTTCATATGTTTTGTCGATATAATAAAATATATATATATATATATATATATATATATATATATATATATATATATATATATAATTATTTATTAAAAAAATAACATAAATATGTTATAAAATCACTACACAAATAGCCATTTTGTTTCAACACCTCCGGTGTCTTATCAAGTAATGTCAACATCATCACATGATAAGACACCGGGGGTGTTGAAACAAAATGGCTATTTTTGTAGTGATTTTATAACATATTTATGTTATAATTTTTTTTAAATAAATAATTATATCTGCTCTACTCTGTAATGAGCACTCTTTTAAGAATAGTAATTGTTGGTTATTGGAATTCATTCCGTATACACCAATTATACACTTGGATATATATATATATATATATATATATATAAGGTGTTTCAAAATTTATATCACATTTTAAGAACTCTTATATCATGATCTATACATGGTAATATGATTGAAAAGCTAAAATGTCAAGTTTATTTTGTTAATTTATGTAAGTAAATTTAATTTTTGAGCATCAACCTGCCTGACAGATAGATCGGATGTTCTGGACAGACTGATCACGTGTTCCTGCGATGGTCACCTACATCTCCAGACGTCCTGCCATATGACTTCTTCCTATGAGGGTATGTGAAATGCTTCTTATACGTAACTCACCTTCCCAGATACGTGCATGATCTGAAGACGCGAATAACTGAAGCCTTGGCAACAATCGACAACGACATGCTTGGTCGCGTTTAGCAAGAATTGGATTATCGTTTGGATGTGTGTCGTGTAACCCGCGGCGTCCACACTGAACACCTGTAAAAACCTGTATAGAAACGTGGAAATATTAGCTTTCAGAAAATATAAATTGTGTTTTGATATCCCCAATGGCGATTATGATGTACTGTGTCACAATGTGATACAGACATTTGAAACACTTTGTATATATGATAATATATATATATATATATATATATATATATATAACGTCATCCACAGACAGACTGTTTCGCAGCTCATCAGTGTGGCTAGACATCTGGTTGCCTCTAGCTAGGATCGAAACCCGACTGAATTGGTGTCAGCCGGAGATTCGAACCATTAAGCCGTCGACACATGAAAGTGGATGTTTAGCGTATTTATTTTTAGAAACACGCCCACTGACCGACAGTGACTCAATTCGCATCTGCGAAGAGTCTCGCTATAAAAAGGCTTAAACACTATTCCATAGTCATAATTTATTCCATTGGAATCGTAAATACGATCCAATTCATCAGACCTACTGTGAAAAGTGTGTGTATATGGATATTGATGAATATGTGTATGTGTGTATATGTGATTATATATTTTTTATATTTTATATGTGTGTTTATATGTGTGTACACGTATGTATGTGTGTGTGTGGGGGTATACGCCTATGTGGATGTATATACATGTATATGTTATTGTGTGTATTCACATGTGTCTTTGAACATAGAAATATAGGTCCTTGCTGGATTAGACAATCGTTATACTTATCTTCATACATTTATATTTGATTTGTAACCTGTAGTCGATATTAAATTTGTCAAATTTTCTCAATTACAAAGCGGCCCTTTAAGTAAACGCAATTTTACTTTCCTTCGTCCCATCTCTCCCCTACCTCCTCTTTCCCTTCCCCTCCCTATTATTCTAGCATTAAATTGTCTATGGTGTGTGTATGTCACCACGAAATGTATCTTTATGCATTAGACATCCGTCGGCATTCATTCTCTTATCTTAATTAAAACCCTTTCCCCCACCTCTCCTAAAATTCTCTCTGTTAAGGTTCAATCTCTCCCCTCCTCATATTTAGCCTTTCTCTAAATTCTGTTTTCACTTCCGGAGTGGTTTTTTTCTGTTTTCGTTTTGAATTTGTAGGTCTGATGAATTGGATCGTATTTACGATTCCAATGGAATAAATTATGACCATGAAATATTAGTGTTTAAGCCTTTTTATTATATCCTTACTCTGTCCTGGACATTGAGTTCTACCTGGATTCTTCCTCTTGGAATTTTTTTCTGAAAATATACATGTATGAGTATTTATATATTTTGCATACGTATGTATATTTTCCACACTATCTATCTATCTATCTATCTATCTATCTATCTATCTATCTATCTATATATATATATATATATATATATATATATATATATATATATATATAAGAATTTCCCCCAGCAAACGTATTGTGCAAGATTTTCAATAGAAATTATATTTAAATTAAGTTATAGTTGTATGCCAAATATGGCTAACTTAATAAATATAACAGCAGAAAATTATAGACAAACCACACTCCAACCCCACCCGCCTAATCGTAACTGTAGAAACAAGGATGCCTGCCCACTTAAGGGCAGCTGCCAACAACAATGTGTTGAAATACACAGAAATAAACCTAATAGTAGTAATAAAATAGTTAAATTTTACATATGATGCAACCAAGGTAATTTCAAAAAGCGTTACTACAATCATTTAAGCAGCCTTAAATTTACAAACACAGCACTAACCTGTCTACATATATATATATATAGAATATTAAACAGGAAGATGGTATTGACCCCATTTTAAAATGGGAAATACTAAAATAAATGCCATAAGTATAAAACAGGGGACAAGTATTCCTAATTATGTATCGAGAAAAAAAATAGCTATAGCCACCTCCGATGAACCTAATAATTAAATCAAAGATCTGAGATTTTAAATAGGTATAGACATAGGAAGTCCTGGTTATTGGAATAGCGGTTTTTTCTCTCTCTATCTTCTTCTGTCACATGATTTTATGCTAATTAGTTTTTAGTGGTTTTATCAATAAATACTGTTTCTTGTCACTTCCTCTTTAGCCAGATTGAAGATCCGTTTAGGTGCTTGACTCTTTAGGATTTATTTCATTTACGTTATTCCAAAAAAAAATTCGCTTGAAGATGGAACAGAGCTTACTTTAACTTAATTTAATTCAAATAATTATATTGAAGTTTTCGGCTCTTGTTTTGAAACATGAGACCTCTTATGTCGCGAGTTGGAATCATATTTTTAAATAAATAATTATTTTTATGCTCTACTTTTGTATCGAGCACTATTTTAAAAAAATAATAACTGAAATACTAAGGAACTTTGGATTATTTACCTAACCAGTTCTGATACAATGATACTGACATAAGGATAATCTAGACATCCCTTGTTCAATTTAAGTAGAATATTCTGTAACCATGGAAACGTGATTTTAGCTGTGTCTTTAAAACCCGGTAATTTTTAAAAGTTACTCCAAAATTCGCTTGAAGATGAAATGGAACTAATGCTTTTAATTTAATTGCAAAATTGAATTCGGGGTTTTTAGCTTCTATTTTTGAAACATGGTTGGAACTGTGTAGCGAAAAAAAAACATATTTTAAATCAATTAATTTATAATATTTATGCTCTGTAAATTTACATTGAGCACTATTTTGTAAAAATAAAAATATCTATAAGAACACCGGATTTTATATCTTACTGTTCTTTATATATATATATATATATATATATATATATATATATATATATATATATATATATATATATATATATATATATATCGATATCGACAACGGGTTAGTCGTAGAATCTCCGACTGACGCCGATTAAGTCGTGTTTCGATCCTAGCTAGAGGCAACCGGACGTCTAGCCACACTGATGAGCTGTGATACAGCGAAACTGTCTGTGGATGACAATATATATGCTCCTGAAAAATTTATTTCGGTTGAGATCTCTGGGGAGGAAGTGTTGGTTTGTAAACAGAGACTATTACGGCTAATAATGCAAGACTCTTCGGTAAATCGAATCGAGTTCTCAGTCACTGTGTGTTTATCTCAAAATAAATACGCTTAAATTCACCTTCATCACAACGGCTTAGTGGTAGAATCCCCGACTGACGCCAATTCAGTCGAGTTTCGATCCTAGTTAGAGGCAACCGGACGTCTAGTGACACTGATGAGCTGTGATACAACGAAACAGTCTATCTGTGCATGACAATATATATATATATATATATATATAGGATGTATTTATGTCTATGAGTGTGTGTCCTTCAACCAGTGAATAGATGCTTTTTAATCCTACAATATTTTAACTAATGAAAAACGGTATTTTAGTGGGTACATATATTTGAGGAGAGATCCTCAGTTTAAATGCAATTAATGTCTGTCGGCCTATATAATCGAAGGTCTTACTAAGGAAAATGCACTTCTCTGGAATAAAGGGGTGATTAAAAATATGAAAACTCTGTAATGGAAAAGAGCAGCAGGAAGTGTTTCTGTTTGAAAACAGCAAAAATAAAACGAAATGCAATGACAACTAATAACAAGAACTGTAGCAAGTTCGGCTCAGCGTGAATGGTCGTAATTAATATGAGACATTTTCGTCCTGTCTCTTTCTCCGCTTTCTCTCTGAATCGTCCCTCGGGGAAGGGCTCTGGCGGAAGATTTGGAAAGGGGCCATAGAAATTCAGCCACACAATTCCTGCTAATTCCTTACCATGTTTTCAATCCCATTCTTTCTCTTCCTCCCTGAGATATTCGGTCGATAACTGCGCAACTGACCGATAGACGCCAATAAATATGAACTGGCAACAGTTTATCACTTATTTACTTGCTGGGAAAATTCAAGATGGGGGTGGTAAATGGTTGTATTGTGTCACATGACGATGTAAGAAGGCTCGGGTGAAAGAGATGTTGATTAATCTACGGGTTAAGTGGGTGAACGTATTGTTGATTCGAGTGGAACAAGGTATGTATAAGTAACATTAGCGCATGCGTAAAATCGGACCGTCAACCTGAAGAACATCAGTGACAGTCCTGTTTGCATACAAGCGAAGACACACATATTTACGTCCAACATTAAAAGGATGGAATAACATATTGATTAGTTCTATTTATCTGAAGCAATCTATCTATCTATCTGTTTCACCTTTTTGCGATCTATCTATCAGTCTGGTCAAGTCAATCTATCTATCTATCTACTACGAAAAAAAAAACAACGAAAAAAAACAGCTTGAATAAATTAATTCGAAAAATCGCCATTCGCTTCAATCAAGGCCAACAGATGACTTGAGGATCATCTGCAATTCTTCTGAAAGGTCTCCTTGTTTAACTTATTGAATAATCCTTGGCTCCAGTTTATTTTTGGTGTTACAAGTTATTTTTTTTTGTCTTTTACTCAACTGCGCCCCCCCACATCATAATCAAAGTAGGGTGCAGTCTGGGGAGTTAGGCGGCCATATGTAAGGAGTGATGTGGTTGCAAAACCTGTCTGTCAGCCATGACTGGGTCCGCTTGGTTGTGTGTCATGATGCAGAGTCCTCTTGCCAGCTATAGTGCATTCCAGCAGCCACCCTCTTGACTTAGATCAGCATCTTTCAATTTGTTCATATCTATCTATCTATCTATCTATCTATCTATCTATCTATCTATCTATCCCAGTTTTTTTTTTCTTATCTGTTTATCTATGTATATCATGTCTGCTAACTTTGTGTCAGATGATATAAATATTTGTCTGGTTTAACTAGCCATATTATTTTAAGTCATCTTATCTTGTGATGGTCTGTGAGATGGCAACTATCATGTATGTATCTAATTAGTTTAGCAACTTATTAATTATATCTGCAATAAGAGGTGGCAAATTTTGCCACACCTGTTCTATCTCTGTCTCTTCCCTATCTATCTATCTATCTATCTATCTATCTATCTATCTATCTATCTATGTCAGTCTCTTCATTATCTATCTATTTATCTATCTAGGTTCATCATTTTCTATCTATCTATTTCATGATCTATATATGTCTATCTATCCACCTATTTCTGTCTCTTCACTATCTATCTATCTATCTATCTATCTATCTATCTATCTATCTATCTATCTATCTGTCTGTCTCTCTGCTCATGTCTGTCCAGCGATCTCTCAGTCTGTTCATATCTATCTATCTATCTATCCATCTATCTATCTATCTATCTATCTATCTCTCTTCATTATCTATCTATCTATCTATCTATCTATCTATCTATCTATCTATCTATCTCAGTTTTCTTTATTATCTATCTATCTATCTATCTATCTATCTATCTATCTATCTATCTATCTATCTCATCTATCTCAGTCTCTTCATTATCTATCTATCTATCTATCTATCTATCTATCTATCTATCTATCTAGGTTCATGATTATCTATGTATCTATCTATTTTCATGATCTATATATCTGTCTGTCTGTTTGTCAGTTTATCTATCCACCTATTTCTGTCTCTTCACTATCTCTCTCTCTCTCTCTCTCTCTCTCTCTCTCTATCTATCTATCTATCTATCTATCGAAATCCCTCCATATAGGATATAAATCGAAAAAAACAACTTCTTTTCCTTTTATTTTGCAGTTATTCTTCCCTAAATTTGCACAGTGCCAGTGGCAATATATTCACAAAAGCCCAAATGTGTAAATACTACACAATACACGGTTTACATGCTTCGAAAATGGTAGGAATTGGTTGAACCACCCAGAAAACGGATTTAAAATATGGGAAAGGCAGAAGTTGCAAAACTAAAAGAAGTTCTCAACTGCACGCCACAAACTACACTGAGAATAAACATGTAAACATATTTTTTTTATTTATACGCCGTCTCCTTTCAGGGCTTGGGCGATTATGGCTCTCTACAACTTCTCATCCTTTATAGAGTAATGTCTCTTTTTTTTTCTTTTTTTTTTTTTTTTTTTCTTTTTTTTTTTTTTTTTTTTTTTCTTTTTTTCCCAGTTAATCTCAATCCCTATTCTGTCCTCCATTTACACAAGTTCGTTTTGTGGGTAACTGCTTTCGTCTGTCCGTCTTGCCTTCAATGCCTTGTGAGTGTCAAATTCTCCACACCCATATTTCTTATTACGTGTCCCAGAAATTTCACCTGTCTCTTTCAGATTCTATGTATAAATGTCGTTTAGCTCATATTTTTCTAAAAAAAAAAAAACTTCTTCGTGACTCACATGTTCAGTCTATGGTATTCCCGTTCTTTTGAACGACATTTGCCTTGCCGCAACTTTCTTCCTCATCTGTGAGGAAATAGTCCATTATTCACTCCCATATGGGAGAACCGATATTACATAACAGGTCAGGCTTCTTTTCTTTGTTTAACGAATTTTTCATGTTTATTTATACTTTGCTTAGCTTTTAGAAGGCATTTTATCTATTCCAGTGCGCCTTTGGATTTCGGTATTTTGTGATGTCAATGAACACACGATGTCACTTTTGTGATCTCAACGAATACTCGTTGTCACTTTCGTAATGCTCGTTGTAGTAGAGACTTTGTAATCGCAGATACAACTATAGTAACCCCGTTGAACAATACTGGTGTCAGACGTCTTCGAATAACACTCGCACTAATAACACTTGCTCGAAATGTAACCACTGAATAGTGGTCCGAAAAGTAATCCGTATAATGAGATATTCACTAGCCGCCTGACGCGGCCGGATGTGGCACAAGGCCATGTTTATAGTGGAGTATTCAAGCCTGTAAGCCCGGGCAAAAATTCCCTGTAAACCCCATAAAAACAGGTTTGGGTAGCTGTCTACCACCCCAGATGAGACTCTGCCCTTCGGCACAGCCCCGTCTGTGTTCCTCTCTGCCTCCAGTCAGAGAGTTTGACCAGCACAGCTGGAGGCGAATCTCCAACTGCAGGATATCTACCAACCGCCCCACGCGGTCGGATGTGGCACAAGGCCGAGTTTATTGTGCGGTATCCGAGCCGGTAGGCTCTGCCAAAATTCCTCGTAGACCCCGTAAAAAAACGGGGTCGGGTAGCTGTCTCCCGAGACGAGCCTTTACCTTTCGACATAGCCTCGTCTGGGGACCCTCTCTGCCCGAAGGCAGGGAGTTTAACAAGCACACTTCCGAAGTAACCCGGCGTGATGCCTTAGACGCCACGGTAATTCCCATATAGACATTTCCTTTACCATCACGTGATCTACTTATTCAAAATGGGATCGCCTGTGTTTCCTCTCTGGTGATTTGTGTTCAATCTCCAGTCTCGGCAGTGTCACTTTATTCCTATATAAAACATCATATTTTCGGTCCACTCTTCGAACTCTTCCCAGATATTTAAATTTTCGTAATTGCTTGATCCTCAATTTATATTTCTCTTCTTTGACAGATTCTCTTGCTGACAACCATGTATACTGTCTTTTTATATTTGGTGTTTAGTCCTTTCTTCTTGCTTTCCTTTACTACCTCCCTCTGTGTCTGATACCAACATCGTATCATCTGCATGTATTATTTTGTTAAGATTTTGTCCGCTAATAACGTAAACACTACACAATAATAATACGTAAATTAATGCGTCGGAAATTTTCTATGTATCTATCTCATACAGTTCGTATCTATCGACCTACGTATCTATTTAACAGCTGTCTACCATCGCCAGCAACCTGTTGCTCGACTGGAAAATTAAAAAGTTCATTGATAATGTCACTTTATTGTGATAGCCAAACTACGCAAGAGTGGGTCGCGTCCTGAGTATGACGATAAACTACATCCGGCAGCAAGACCATTTGATTGTTGTTGTTCGCAGGTCCATCCAAACCCGGAGTGGTAGCACTTGTTAGGGTCTCAGCTCTGGTCACTTTATTGTGATAGCCAAACTACGCAAGAGTGGGTCGCGTCCTGAGTATGACGATAAACTACATCCGGCAGCAAGACCTCTGATCGGGAGGTTTTGATGTTCGTGGAACCACCATTTGATTGCTGTTGTTCGCAGGTCCATCCAAACCCGGAGTGGTAGGACTTGTTAGGGTCTCAGCTCTGGGTAAATAGCTACCCCCCAAACTGGGTTCAAAGCACCATGAAAGTATAAAAATAGATTTTTATAGTATAAATACCAGCAACACATTTTTGAAAAAAAAATATTACCAGTAATGCATTTTTTAAAAAAATATTACCCGCAATACATTTTTGAAAGAAAATATTACCAGCAATACATTTTTAAAAAAATGTTTTACCAGCAATACATTTTTTTAAAAGAAATTACCAGCAATGAATTTTAGAAAAAAAAAATTACCAGGAATACATTTTTGAAAAAAAATAACAATACATATTTTTTTTAAATAAAACAAAATATTACCAGCACTACATTTAAATAAAATATTGCCAGCAAAACATTTTTTGTGAAAAAATTAAATTTAAAATTTTACCAGCAGAAATCTTCGAAAAATCTTTAAAAAAATATTTCCAGCAATACATTTAAAAAAATGTTACCGGCAATAGATTTTTGAAAAAAAAATAATACTAGAAATATATTTATGAAAAAATAAACATTACCAGCAATACATTTTTGAAAAAAATATTAACAGTAATACACTTTTGAAAAAAAATTACCGGCAATACATTTTTGATAAAAAATACCAGCAATTCATTTTTGAAAAAACTGATACCAGCAACACATTTTTTTAAAAATTTTACCAGTTACACATTTTTGAAAAAAAAATATTACTAGCAATATATTTCTGAAAAAATATTAAAAGTAGTACATTTAAAAAAATCTCCTGCAATACATTTTTGAAAAAAAAATATTACCAGTAATACATTTGTGAAAAAATGTTTAAATTAATACATTAAAAACATCACTGGCAATAGATTTTTGAAAAAAAATATTACCAGCAGTACCTTTCTCCTCATCCTTTCCTCCAACATTCCTACCTGTTCCACTATCCTTTCTCCTCATTCTTTCCTCTATCATTCCTACCTGCTCCAGTATCCTTTCTCCTCATCCTTTCCTCTAGCATTCCTACCTGTTCCACTATCCTTTCTCCTCATCCTTTCCTCTATCATCCCTACCTGCTTTACTATCCTTACTCCTCATCCTTTCCTCTATCATTCCTACCTGTTCCACTATCCTTTCTCCTCATCCTTTCCTCTATCATTCCTACCTGCTCTACTATCCTTTCTCCTCATTTTTCCTCTAACATTCCTACCTGTTCCACTATCCTTTCTCCTCACCCTTCCCTCTATCATTTCTACCTGTTCCACTATCCTTTCTTCTCATCCTTTCCTCTATCATTCTTCCTGTTCCACTATCCTTTCTCCTCATCCTTTCCTCTATCATTCCTACCTGTTCCACTATCCTTTCTCCTCATCCTTTCCTCTATCATTCCTATCTGCTCTCGCTCCAAATCCTCTATAACCCCTTGCGTGCTAGTGGCTTCCCGCCTTTACTAGGGGTGAAATGTTTTAAAAAAATATTATATTTATCAGAACCTATCCTAAAAATTTTGTTGGCATTAAATAACCCATGGAGATGTTGATATGCCGTAAAGCAAAATAAACCAAGAGGATGTCAACAACCAGCTAACCTTGAATCCCAAATTCAGTTTTACTTTCTTTTTCGATATTGCGTTTGTTTTCCCTACTGCTGCAAATGCTAGACAACTTAAGCCAGGCATGAGAACTTGGAGAGAGTTCACTTTCGCTGCCTCCGACGTATCCTCGGCATGACATGGCGCGAACAAAATCACCGAAACTGCTGTGGCTGAAACAAGAAGGCATTTTGAACATAAACCTGTCAGCGTCGAATACAATGGTTGGGACATGTGTACCGAATGAAAGACGCTCACGTACCAAAGTATGTCATTTATGAAGAGCTGGCCAGAGGACATCTACCAGCAGGCCGCCAACATGATACTTCAAGGATGTCTTCAAGAGCGAGCTGGAACGCCGAACTTTTTGCAGACGACTGCAGCGACTGGCTCCATGCTTATTAAAAAGCGAAGAAAAGCGTAACACATAGCTGGAGAGCAAAAGACAATGCAGGAAGCAGAGTCAAAGAATTCAGGCCTTTGATTTACGCTCCAGCTTTGTCTTCAATACTCGCAGAAGAGACTGTCTTGCGGCGATCGTGTTGCCAAGTCATTCCAGACGATGCTCCCAGCAGGATTGATCGTGGCCGACTAAAGCTCGACCAGCAATTTCCGAGGTAGACAGATGCTTATCGCTATTCCTACTTCACACTATTTCCCTGTCCATTTTCAGCTTCAGTTTTTACTTACTTTAAGCAGGCAAGAATCCTATTACAATTTGTATTTAACCGCTAAACAGCTGACATGATCTCTCAGAGGTTCCACAATACCGCCATCGTAGGTGCAATATCTAGCAAGAACCTTCAGATATGGGTATTCTGTCGCATCTAATGCCAAGAAAATTAGTATGCATATTCTTGTCTTTACCTTGGTTCTAATAAGGAAATCTCTTCTGGGACGTATTTTACAAGTATCTCAATCACAAGGCTCGTTCTAATTATTGAAGATTTGTGTGGTTCGTGTATAAATGACTGTTAGAGTCTGTCTATATTTCTGAGATGAGGTATTATGTACAGTATTTACATTAGTCGGACTATTGTCCTCATCTTTGTCGCCATATTTGTCACAACGTTTTGGCCGTTGTTGAGGAATTGAACTCACCTTCTTTGGGTCTGTCACTGGATCTAACCAACATGACTAAAGACTGTGTGTACGCTATCCCGTTCAGCTGCGGAAAGGAATATAAAGGAGAGACAGGCCTCCCCCCTCAAGGTAAGGCTTCAAGAACACCAGAAAGCTGTAACGCGAGGGGAAGTGGAAAAATCAGGCGTGGATGACCACATATGGAGAGAGAAGGGAGATCACCACCCTCTGTGGGATCATGTTGAGATCATAGACAGGGAACACCATTGGAAAATTCGTAAACTTAAGGAATCAGCACATATGCTAGACCACAAAAACTCCTGAGCCGACCAAGCATAGAAATAAATACAATATGGGAACCAGTAATAAGGAGTGCCAGAGAAAAGCAATGATAACAATGTTGCAATATGAACTCTGGTAAAGACATGCAATGATAACAGCAAAAAATTGCAATATGAGCACTGGTAAAAATGATGCTGAAAACATTAGATTTATAATACTCAGAAGTTCATACCCAGATGTCCTCAAGGACACATGGCACAGTGGATAAAGGCGTTGGTTAGATCCAGTGACAGACCCAAAGAAGGTGAGTTCAATTCCTCAACAACGGCCAAAACGTTGTGACAAATATGGCGACAAAGATGAGGACAATAGTCCGACTAATGTAAATACTGTAAATGACTGTTACTCTTTCCAAACTGGACTGAATTCAATCACTGTTGTTTAACCAAAATCACATAAGTGTTTTTCACAGTGTTTTTGTTTTGATATTGTCACTCTTTCTTTCTGTCTTTTTTCGTTATATCTCCGGAGTTTTCTTTCATGGTATTTGCTCACACTTTATTTATTTTGTTTGTTTCTTTCTTTCTTTCTTTCTTAATATCTATGTACTCTTTCATACCTACGTTTTTTCTTTCTTTCTTTCTTTCTTCGTTCTTTATATAAGCCGAGTATTTCTTTTTATTTCTCCATATTTCGCTATTCTTTATTTGTTCGTCTGTTTCTTTCGTAATATCTCCCAACTCTTCTTTCTATCTTTTTTTCTTTTTTTTCCTTCTTTCTTTCTTACATTCTTTCTTTCTTCGCAGTATCTACCGATTATTTTTCTTTCTCCATAATTCCCAATTCTTTATATAATTGTTTCTTTCTTTCTTAATATCTCTCCGCTCTTTCTTTCTTTCTTTCTTCTTCCCGAGTTTTCGCATTCTCCATATTTCGCTATTATTTATTTGTTTGTCTGTTTATTTGATTTCTTGTTTGTTTGTTTGTTTTTTGTTTGTTTGTTTGTTTGTTTGTTTGTTTCTTTCTTTCTTTCTATTCCAAATTGATTCTTTCTGACTTTCGTTTTTATTTCGCAGTATCTACCGACTTTTTCGTTTTCTTTCTCCATAATTCCCAATTCTTTCTTTATTTGTTTCTTTCTTAATTAATATTTCCCCACTGTTTCTTTCTTTTATTCTTACTATCTCCCGAATTTTTCATTTTATCTTTCCATGTTTCACCATTCTTTGTTTCTTTGTTTCTTTCTTAAGATCCCCCCACACTTTCGTTCTTTTTTCCTTTCTTTCTTTTTTCTTTCTTTCTTTCTTTCTTTCTTTATTTATTTATTTATTTATTTATTTATTCTTAATATCTACCGACTTTTTTTCTTTCTTCATGTTTCCCTATTGATTGATTCTTTCTTTCTTTCTTTCTTTCTTTCTTTCTTTCTTGTTCAGCTTATTTATTTTATGTATTTATTTTATTAATTTTATATATACAAATTATTTTATTAATTTTATATATGCAAATTTATACATAATAAACTTCCTCTTTCCGTAATTACAGAAAAATATTTACTAGAATAATGATATTATATTCCACATTGTTCAAGCACTTGAACTTATTTTTGTGTAGTTGCTCTTGTTAAAATTTGGGCCGATATATTCCTCGGACCTCGCCATAGAAAAAAGTTGACAATCCGAACAAATTTGGAAATATTAATGACACTTCAAGTAGATATAGACAATTATATGACAGATGTCAACTCCCGTGAAATTTACGTTGTCCAGCTAGTAACTATAAATTTTTTTAAAATTTATAAATTTATAAATTTAAAAAAAAAAGACATTGAAAATTTGGCATGTACATAAGATTTCATAATTTTCAATCATTTTCACCTCCCCCCATAACAAAATATGCATTTCAAATACAACATTCTACGGGTTAACATTTCTTCTCGTATATTCCTTATTGTATGATTTTGGTGTTTTTTGATTGCACCTCATTATATACGAAACACATACTTGATTAAAATTAAAAGTGAAAGTAAAAGTAACTTTTTAATGCTTAGCACTGATAAAAATAGTTTTGTAATGTAATGTATTTTTTTTTCGATAATCAGCATAATATCAGCTGATCTTTAGAAGATCAGAAATATTCACGACATTTTTTTACATAATCTACCCGAGCACTCCCTTGAAGAGTAAGTATACATACGCATTGTTTTTTTTCTATTACCCCTTCACATGAATTTACTCTCTTGCTTTTTTGTCGTTTGACATCTCTCTCTCTCTATCTATCTATCTATCTATCTATCTATCTATCTATCTATCTATCTATTCATATCTATCTATCTATCTATCTATCTATCTATCTATTCAGTCTCTATCTATCTATCTATCAGTCTGTCTATCTATCTATCTATCTATCTATCTATCTATCTATCTATCTATCTATCTCAGTCTGTTCATATCTATCTATCTATCTATCTCAGTCTGTTCATATCTATCTATCTATCTATTTATCTATCTATCTATCTATCTCAGTCTGTTCATATCTATCTATCTATCTATCTATCTATCTATCTATCTATCTATCTATCTCAGTCTGTTCATATCTATCTATCTATCTATCTATCTATCTATCTATCTATCTATCTATCTCAGTCTGTTCATATCTATCTATCTATCTATCTATCTATCTATCTATCTATCTCAGTCTGTTCATATCTATCTATCTATCTATCCATCTATCTATCTATCTATCTATCTATCTATCTATCTATCTATCTATCTCAGTCTGTTCATATCTATCTATCTATCTTAACCTCTTCAGATCTATCTCAATCTGTTCATATATATGTAGCTAGCTAGCTATCCGTCAATGTATCTGGGTTTGTTCATATCTATCTATCTATCTATCTATCTATCTATCTATCTATCTATCTATCTATCTATTTTAGTCTGCCCATATCTATCTTAATCTGTTCATATCTATCTATCTATCTATCTATCTATCTATCTATCTATCTATCTATCTATCTATGTTCACCTCCATATAGATCAATCGGATCTATCTATCTATCTATGTATCTATCTCAGTCTGTTCAGATCTTTTTTTTTCTTTTTTTTAAGCATTCCCCCCCCCCAAAAAAAAAGAAAAGCCGGAGTGTCAATAGCACGCAAGCGGTTACAGAGAGTGGGAGTAAGAGTAAAGAAACGTGATAGAAGAAAAGATACAAAGAAGGACAGGGAATTAGGTCAAGGCATCAGAAGATGTCGATTGACATTATATTTCAATATTTGATGACTATAAGTGTCACGGAATCAAGTAAGAGGAAGGGAGTTCCACAGATGGGAAGTGCGAGCTGTTGGAGTAGAAGAGACGGCTACATTTAACCCTTTCGACAGTGAAAGGGTGAGACTGAGATACCAACTTAGTAACAGGCTTAAATTCATGCAGTTTGGAAACCAGTGAAAGTAGGTCGTCGGAGCAATTATCGTGAAAGTATTTGTAGAAAAGACAGCAAGCGACGGTTCGTTTGTGAGAAAGTGACTGTAGGAGATGTGCCAGACCAGCACTAATCACGTTGCATATCCGTCTCTGGATTTTGTTTTTATCACAGTCCATATCTATCTATCTATCTATCTATCTATCTATCTATCTATCTATCTAGTCTGTTCAGATCTATCTCATCTGTTCATATTTATCTATTCATCTATCTATCTCAGTCTATCTTCTATCTATCTTTCAGTCTGTTCAGATCTATCTATCTGTTCATATCTATCTATCTATCTATCTATCTATCTATCTATCTATCTATCTATCTCAGTCTGTTCAGATCTATCTCAGTCTGTTCATATCTATCTATCGATCTAGCTAGCTAGCTAGCTAGCTATCTAGCTAGCTAGCTAGCTAGCTATCTAGCTAGCTGTCACAGTCTGTTCAGATCTATCTCTGTTCATAACTCTCTATCTATCTCTCTATCTATCTATATATCTATCTTTCTATCTATCTCAGTCTGTTCTGATCTATCTCTGTTCATAACTATCTATCTATCTATCTATCTATCTCAGTCTGTTCAGATCTATCTATCTATGTGCATATCTATCTATCTATCTATCTATCTATCTTAGTCTTTTCAGATCTATCCGTCTAACATTAGAGTTTTACATTGTGCGTCCTTGACTTGTGTATTTGTTCAGAAATGAAGTTTAGATTTCACTTTAAGTATTAAAAAAAGCTTTATTACAGATCTTGTAGGAAAAAGGGCGCTTTAATTTCCTATCGAGGAATAAGTCACTTCGTACCTTCACAACTTTGTCTACTTGCTACCCACTCCTTGTTTTTCGCCTTTTTATTTCTCCCTTCCCAACCCGGGGCCAATTATCCAAATCATATCGCACTTCTCTGCGACTTCTATTGGGTCTCTTAATCAAATGCAAATATTGAACATAAATTGATGAAATTCAAAAAGCGAATTGTCTGAAATTAAGACGATAATTGGTTTTGGACAGAATTGGATCGATTAAATTTCGATCGGCCGGTATATTTCGTGATCAGTGAAAATCACGTGACCAATAACCTTTTGTCATTTCTATTCATCTCAACGGCTAAAATCGATTACCTTCTCTCTCTCTTTCAGTTCCTCACCGTATATTAATATTATTGCTATCCCCCGCCTATACACACACACTCTCTCTTTCCCTCTGTCTGTCTGTCGCTCCGTCTTTGTCTCTCTCTCTATATATATATGCATATATGTATTTATTAATATATAATTATCAATATTATCAATATATCAGGTAACCTACTGAACTATACAAAATAATTTCACATGGTATTAAATTTCTCTTCTTTTTCTTTTTCTTCCTCTTCTTCCTCTTCTTCTTCTTCTATTAATACTGCTCCGTTTTCTTTTTCTTTTTCTTCTTCTTTTATTACTACTGCTCCCTTCTAACTTCGTTTTCTTCTATTACTACTGCTCCCTTCTACCTTCTTCCTCTCCTTCTTCTTCTTCTTCTTCTTCTTCCTCTCCTTCTTCTTCTTCTTCTTCTTCTTCTTCTTCTTCTTCTATAACTTCCTTCATTTTCTTGCTATTCTTTTTCTTTTATTTTCTCGTCTTTTATTCCCTTATTTGTTTTATCCCCCTATTATTTTGTTTCTCTTCTTTCTTTCTTTCTTTCTTTCTTTCTTTCTTTCTTTCTTTCTTTTCTCCTTTTTTATACTCTTCTACTTTCAATTTCTTTCTTTCCTTTCTTTCTTTCTTTCTTTCTTTCTTTCTTTCTTTCTTCTTCTTTCCATTGTGTATTTTGGTTCTTCTTCCTCTTTTTCATCCTCTTCTTTTTCATCTTCTTCTTTCACTCCTTTTTCTTATTCATCATTTTTTTCTTTCTCTTCTTTTTCTTCTTTCTCTTTCTTATTTCCCTTTCCATTGTGTATTTGATTTTCCTCTCTCTTCTTTTTTTCTTCTTTTTCTTCTTCTTTCCCTTTGAATTGTGTATTTGGTTCTCTTTTTTGTCTCCTTCCTTTTTCTTCTTCTTCATTTTATTCTTTCTATTCCCTTTCTTTATTTCTCTATTTCCTTTATTCTCCTTTACTCTTCCTTTTTTTTTCGTTGTCTTTCTTTTTATTTTCTTTCCTTGTATTTCTATTTTCATTTCGTTTTATTTTATTATCACCCCTTTTATTTCATTTCCTTCTCTTCCTCTCTGTCTTCTCTCATTTCACTTTGCGTTTTTTAACCTCTTTGGGGATGAAAAATAATCATCCTTCTGATTATCAAGAAACCTATTCATGTCCTAAACCTCCATATCATCTTCCAGAAAGCAACCGCCCCATCGAAATAAAGAAATCTAAAAACGTTAATCTGGTAACCGCCATTTACTAGAACACCAATGAATAAAGGGCCCGATTCGAAAATCCCTAAAGGTTACCCGTATCGATAGACACCAGAAAAAGGCCGGAGAGCACAACGGTCGAAACGTTCTGTTAATTAACAACAAAGACAAGAACAATAGTTCGAATATGAACTGTGAATTAGTTTATTTGCGTGTGTGTGTATAACCACTTTTTCTTCACCTTCATTTTTATTTTATTTCTCTTCGTTTATTATCAGGAGCAATTGAGCAGCACGAATAATGATCCCTAATTCGAAAGCCTCTCACTGCTCTGTCAGTAATTCCATTGAAAAGTGCTCAGACGCACTACATTCCTTACCCCCATCAGTTCTAACCTTCTCAGCTAAGACCCGCCACGCTATACGAATTGTTGCGAACCACCCTCATTCTCATTGTATCCCTTTGGTGAGATGTAGCTTCCGCTCAAGTAGCTTCTTCCGGTGAACCACTGCTCAGTGGAACCGACTCCCAAGAGGATGCTTCCCTGATCACTACAATCTTAACGTGTTCATGTCTGGGGATAATTCTTATATTCCCCAGATATCCGCATAAACTCTGTCTCTTTGTAACCTACTAATTAGACTGGCTCCAGGGCCTTGTTCCGGACGTGGGTAATCATGGTTCTCCACAATTTCCTGTCCTTTGTAGCTCTTTTGTACCGATCTGTCGTTTGATTTGGTTTGGTTGCTCAAGTTTAGCGGCATATCAACCTCTGGGTTTTTTAATGCTGAAATCTAAATATTTTGAACACAATTTTATGGTTTCAGCAAGATTTAACTCATTTGTATGTCTTCAACTCCAGATAAAATGTATTGCTGGCCATTTTGCTTTAAAATTTTATTGTTGGTCATTTTATTATTAATAGGTATTATTGGTCCTTTCTTATATAAAATTATATTGCTAGTATTGTGTTGTTATTTATACTATAAATATGTAGTGTAAATAATTTTACTATATAAAAAAGTGAAAAAATAAATCTGCGCTATTGTACAGGGTGTAGCTCTTGGTAAATTTTGTCTTTTGTCATCTCTCTAAAATGCTGTTCCGTCAATAATTAATATAAACTCATTAAGTAAGTTATGAGCTGTCTTTCTCCGTCCCTCTAGCCTTCAATATGTCTTGTGAGTGTTAATTTTTCTAAGACTTCTTTCCTCATTTTGTACTTAAAAAATTTCAACTATCTCTTTCTGGTGGTAACTAGAAGTGTCCATTTTGTTTACATTGTCCATGAAACGTCGTTGCTCACGTCTTTAGCTCATGGTATCCGCAGCATCCTTCTGTAGAACCCCATTTCTGTTGCTTCAAGTCTCTTCTTCGTCTGTGCAGAGATTGTCCAGCATTCACTGCCAAATGGGAGCACTCTTATTACATTACAGTTCCGTTAACATTCTTTAAGCCATACGTAGGTCGCGACACTTACCAAAATTAAAAATTAGGATTTATCATTTTAGAGGGGAGGTCCAGATAATATTATATTCATATTTAAAAATGTTAGTTTTCAGTGGGGTAATCAAATTGATATCTGCATATTTTTTTTCATTTTCTGAATTAAAAAAAAAAATTAAACATTCTTTGAATTTTAAAAACAAATTTAAGAAACGTTTTTTTGCGCGGTGTTCTTCGAGTAATTTGATTGCGGTGAAAACTATGGTTGTTTTTCAACATATATTTTATTAACTTAAGTAGCTTTTGGTTCTTTTATTAAAAACCAGCTTAAAAGCAGCATCCCGGAAGGACTTTTAATCTAGCTGCCGTGGAGGGCTAATTGGGCCAAAAACTAAAGTGATCTCTGGTCGAGCTTAAAAAAACAGAAATGTTAAGTTTGAAGAAATAACTTTTTATTCCTTAATTAACTCCATGGAACTTTAAAACCTCACTTTAACTCTGATTCGGGTTATCCGATTTGGGGGAGCGGGGAAATTGCAATTCAGGCCGAAAATTGAGTTCAAATCACAAATTTCGTGGAACATCATTTCTGTTGAGTTTTTCAATTCACAAACTCTGCTGAACTTCAAAACCTCAAGTCACGAAAACTTTTACTTTAAATCTGATTCCTTGGCATTTTGAAGAAATAAAATAGATTTCATCAATTTACAATATTTTGGAGATATTTTAATCTGAAGAGCTATTTGGGTCTCTGGCTCCAAACTGAAGTGACTTCTCGTCCAGCTTTGAAAACAGCAATGATAAGTTTAAAGAAATAGCTTTGAATTCCTCGATTCACTCAATATAAATTCAAGACCTCACTTTAACTCTGATTTGAACTATATGTCTAATTCCGGTCAAAGACGGATTTGGGTCGAAATTTCAATTCAGGCCGAAAATCGAGTTCTTCAAATCACAAACTCTGCGAAACTTTAAAACCTCACATCACGAAACCTTTCACTTTAATTCTGATTCCTTGGTATTTTAAAGAAATAAAATTGATTTCCTCAATTCAAAAAGTTTTGGAAATATTTTAAACTGAATTTAAAACGAAACTTTTTAAATTCACAAAGTTTTTGTGCTACTTTAAAAAATCAATTTTTTTTAAATCACTAATTTTTTTCAGTTATATTGAAATTTGAATTTTTTCTTCCTCGTCCAAGCACAACTCTCAATACTGGATGTTCAAGCACCAGATGAAGGGCAGATTTTCAATCCCGGGATAATCCTTATTCCAAAAATGTATAATGTCTCTGTAAAGCATTGTGCGGCCTGAATTAGATGGATTTCAGACACACAGACAGGATTTGCCGTTTATTCATTTTTACGTATATACGAGGTCTGTGTGAAAAGTAAAGGAACTAGTGTGCAGTGTGAGTTATGGGTGACAGAAGGATAAACGGATTGTGCTATCATATTGTGCTAGCATGATATCTTGGGAGTAACTGTAATCACAGATCTCAGCAACCATTGCCCTTTTCACATGGTTTTGGGGCAGGACAAATCGTGACTGCTTCACCACAACAATACACCTTCTCAAAACGCCCTAAGCATCCAGCAGTACCTGTCTAATAAGAACATCGCCGTACTGTAACCTGATCTTGCTCTGTGTAACTTTTTTCTTTTCCCCAAGCTTAAGGAGATTATCAAGGGCACCCGTTTTGAAGGCCATCAAAAGGGCCGTAACGACGGAGCTAGGAGGCATCCAAGATGAATCCTTCTAACAGTGCATAGAAGAACGGCAGAGAAGGATGGAAAAGTTAGACTCGAAGGTGATTACTTTAAAGGGGAAACCAAGTAGTTTGTTGTTT